CTTTAGCATAGTTCAATTAAAAGTACAGTGAGTGCACCTAGATGAAGATGCTGCTTTTTTTCTGATGAGGCTTTCTTGAAGCTTTAGGCTTGCAGATGACTTGCAGTGTCTTGCATCACTCATCTCTTTAACTCTGTTTAACAGATGATACAAAAGCACTTCAGGTAATGTTTCTGTGCCCCCACTCCCTTTTAAAATGCAGTGCTCTGCAGACTTCATGAAAACAGTGCTTTTTTTTGGTTTTGAAAAACTTCTTTTCTGCAGACATTGATTTGATACAGAACTAATTTTAGGATTCCTTCTGATTTTATAATTTTTTTTTTACACATTAATAAGATTTATTTTTTTTTAACTCCTCTGCTTTAAGAATGTGACATTACTCCAGACTCCAGTAGTCAAGTCTCTGTCTCCAAAGGCTAGCTTGTAGCACTACGTTGAAGTACCTCAGTTAAGGAGTTCATACACATTAGGGACTAGGACTAAAACTGTAATTCAACTGCTACTGTAATCCAAAGTGGCAAGTCAGAATGCTTATGAGCTGGACAATGTGTGTACCTTTGAATTTGTACCATTTTAATTGCAACAGCTGAAAACAGATTTGTGTGCAACCCTCATCTTCAAAGCAAGCTTAAAAGAATCCGAGTTTGGCACACAATCTAGTTAATCTACCATCATAACTAATGATTTCACCATTCAGACATAACATATCGACCTTAAAGGATTTTTCTTTCATAGCTGATGGCTTGATACCTTTTAAACACTAATGCCGAGGGTATAATCTCCCTGAATAGTGTAATAGTTTTATATTTAAAGTAGATTGGGGATAAAATTTTGTGTTTTCATGCCAGCCATGAACACCAGTAAGGTATTCAGGCAGGCATTACCTTATCGTACCTTTGAGGGCACTTATCAAATAATTTTTATTGGAAAGTTAATACGTTGAGACAGAGTGAATGGGAAGCTGATCAGAATGCTGAGGCGTACCCAGCACTGCATCGCCTTCGCTGCCCGCAGATCTGCGGCAGGGGCTGATTCATTTACCACATCATCCGAAATCATGTAGCGTTCAGTACCCATTAAAATTATATGAAATTGTGTGTAAGAGATTTCTCCGTGCTGGCTCGGGAGGATCCTCTCCTCCTGGCGGCTGCAGTCCCGGCGGGCACAGCACAGCCCCACGGGCTGCAGGTGTTCCGCCTCACGGGCACCGGGACGGCCCCGGCAGCCAAGGGAGTCGCTCAGGATTTAATTTCACGCTTGTGTATCTGAGCGTGTGACCAGCCCCTTTGTCTTTTAATCGTCTGTGTCTGCACGTCTCAGGCCATATATTGTGGCATTCATTTCTCCTCTGCCACCAGCACCGGCATGATGTGTCAAATGAGACCTTGCAGGGCCAGGGCTTCTGCTGCCCCTTCTCTTCCTCTCTGCTCCCTGCTCTGTGTGTGTGTGTGTGTTCCACCCCTCTGATTTGGCTGCTCCATGTTGAGCCTTCCTGGAGCGTGTTCCTGCCCCTCCCGTTGTGCCGATTTCCACTTCCCCAACTTTTGCAGGGTTCCCAGAAGATAGGAGCCTCCCCCTCTTTGCTCCGTGTGGGACCAGCCCGTCTAATTGCTGGCTTTTCTCCAGCATCCAGCTCTGCAGGAGTGGAGCAGGAAACCACTTGGCTGCTCCCTGTGCGGGAGCTGTTAACTGTCTCCCAGCTGGGAAAGACTGTGGAAACCTCTAATGATTGGTGCTAATAAACTTAACTTAAATATTTTCTCCAAAACTTGTTCGGATATTAGAAATACTGGAAGACGTCTGTTGATTTTGAGTCACTTATTTGCACATAGATCTTCTGATACTGAGGAATTAGAGCATTTACAAAAATGGATAAATGCACTCTAATGGCTGGAGCTGAACAGAATATTTTAGCTGTATTTTCAGTGAAAGAAGCAGATGTGATAACACCAAGATGCCTGTTTAGATTTTCATTGGTGGTGTTGAGTTGTTTTGGTCAGGAGGTACATCCCCAACCTCCCCCAAAATCTGAAAAAAAATAGTGATTCTACCTGAAACACAGGATGCTTTTGATGTATGAAGCACTTTCTTTTTTTGAAATAACTTGACTTGAATGCTTTGGCTCTTCCAGACTTTTATCTGAGAAGTCCCTGTGTGCTCTGTTTTGTACCTTGCACCTCTTGAGTGTGAGAGAGTCCATTGACCCCAGTTGACACCAAAGAACAAAAGCACCATGAGATTGAGTTTGTGGTTTCCTGATGACTTTACCAGTATAAGATATTGCCAACAATAGCTGTTTGTTCCCACAGTGTTTTCTTGGAGTGTTTTTGTGGCCTCATGAAGTGTGTGGCTGTGCTGTGAACACAGGGGAACGGAGCCAGCAGAGGGAAGAAGGTGGTGTCGTGTCATGATTTTTGAAAGACACAGACCATTACATTTCCAGTTCACAGCATGGCCAGGGATCTTGACCTACCATCCTTTCCCTAGAGTTTCTGCAGCTACCCAGTAAACATAATTGCTGAATCTCTAAATTGCTGATGACTGCTGAATTACTGCATGTTTTAAGTGGACTATCGATGTTTATGTTGGGCTGTCTAGCGGTGATGCAGGATTCTCTTTAGAGCAAGATGTTCCAATTTGTTTCTTTTTCAGTCCTACAGAAAGTATTCAACAGTATAACCAGCAAGTCACTTCCCATAGTTCTCTTGAAAAATGCTTGAGCTCCCCTCCTGGTTTGTAACATCCTTGATGGTGGAAATAAATTCGTGTACAGCATGGCTCTTCACCTTTCATAGGCATAAATAAGTACACAAATCTATTAAGTGTCTGTGCAGAAAACTAAAACTCTATATTTTCATAAGAATGTCAGGTTTATAATTGCATAAATAAGATGCTGACTGAAGCAAATGTTCAATTTCACATTAAACTTAGGCATTCATAAAAGCTTGGATTTGCATAATTTAATTTTCTCACAGAGGACACTGAAAATCAATGGTATGATTCATGGCCATGCCGTGGTTACCATGAGGCCTTTTGATGGTTCCAGCTAGAAGTACAAAGGTGTTTACAACTTCACATGTTTTGCACTGACTCGGAGCAAACATAGATTATTTAGACACAGCTTCTTTCTCCGGAGGGTAAGGCACACAGAAGGGCTCGTGGAGAAGATACCTGCAGGAGTACATTATTCTTTGGAGGAGGCAGTGTGCAACCTTCCTTCTGCCTTGGAGGACTCAGATTTTTTGGGCAACAAAAATCCTTCTTTGTATAGAGGATGCTCAGAAGAAAGCTGCTGTTGTAACAAGGAGGAACTTCAGGTGTATTTCTCAGCATATGTGATTTTTTAAAGTGAATAATTATGAGTTTGTTTTTGTTTGTTTGTTGTTTGTGGTTTTAGGTTTTGGCTGTGTTTTTTGGTTTGTTTGGTTGGTTGGTTTTTTATTTCCTGACAGCCTTTCCAGCCATCCACCTAGGCTATGCCTATGTTCTCTTGGGATTTTCATAGTCTCTGATCTTTGCTCAGTTTTTTTGTCAAGAGTGTTTGGGTCTTCTCATCCCATACCTCTTCTTTCCTCTTGAAAGGAGTGCCTGTTGTCTCTCAATCATGTAGACATATAAAAGTAAATTAAAAAAAATAAAAAAAAGGATGAAAATAAGATGTTCACTTTAGTATTTTTGAAGAGGAAAATAAGGTATGTGAGGTGGTGTTGCCTGTAAAACCTGGTAGCATGATGTGTTTCCAAGTGTTTCTAGTTCACAGCTTGGAGTGAATTAGCATTTAGAAAGTTGCCAAGAAATCTGGAAAACTCATTCAAATTGCACAATTAGTACCTTTCCTCACACAAGAGAAAAATCTGGCAGGGCCAAACCTGTACTGCCTTTCCTGAAATTGCATGATTTTTCCTACGGCTTCAGGATTCCAAAATCTGTAGAAATCCATGATCCACGTTGCAGAGGGAAAGTTGTCCACAGAGCAGTTTAGCACACATGGATAGCCTTGGCCTCAGCATGTTCTCTGCTACTGTGGTGCATGGGGGTGTCACCCAGAAGCTTTTTCAAAGGGAAAGAAAGGCAAACTGAGTAACTGGTGCATGATGTTCAGTAAAGTCCCTGTTCCAGGCTTCGTTTCAGCCCAGCTGTAATTGGCCTGGGAATAGAAGGGAAAGCAGTGCTTGGTGACTGCATATGGGTAGCAATGCTTTACATGGTTTTCTGAAGTTTTAATTTGAATTATTCAGCTGGTTTCTTACTGATCAAATAAGTGGTTTGGGAGCAGTTGGACTTCAATTTCCATAAAGCCATTTGGTGCTTGCTTTTTCCTCACATTGGATATAGTAGATATAAGGTCTTTTCTGTTTGTGTGCATTTATTATAGCACAAAAGTTTTCAGTTGTGCTCTGAGAAAGGTAGTTGAATTTATTACAGACTTTCTGCTGGCATTTGTGAATTCACACACCTCCAGTTCAGTTCAGTCAGGTGCATAGAAACAATAAGCAAACTTTGCACATAAAAAGCCCAAATATCCCACGTCCTCATGGATGCAGTGCATTCCTTTAGAAGAGGAGAAAGTGAAAATTATTTGAGGTATAAAACTCAAATAAAATCCTGGGATGGAATGTAGGATGGGTTCTTTTCTGGTTTAGTTGATTAATTTGATACCTTCTAGCTTGTGGAGTTTGACAAAGATTTCTTTACTCCTGCCCTCTCCTGTGGTCATATGTCACGGCTCACACTTGTTTGTTCATGTACATCAGAATTTCCATGTGGAAATTATTGGAGTTGCACAGAAACGTGCCAGGCCAGAATGATGGCACTGGTGAGTCCTGGCTTCTGTCAATCACCTTGGGGTGGTGGGTTTTCATCGGTGAGGAACGTGCCTGTTCAGTTTTTTTGAGCAATACCAAGTTTGTACTCTCTGCTTAGCAAAGAGATGTAGCACAATGTAAACTCCAGGGGCTAAATACCACTTTTTTAACAATGCCTGCTTCTTTTCTTCCCAGCTCTGACTGAAGGTTATGTTGACTCTCTGCATGAAAACAGACATGGTAGTTCTGTGCAGATACGGAGGCGAAAGGCTTCAGGGGATCCTTACTGGGCGTACTCGGGTGAGTGAGTTGTCTTCTTCAGAGGACTGAAATGTGAAATTTCTCCAAAATCAAATTGTTTACTTGCTTTTTATTGCTACTGTGCTCAGAAATAGTTTAAAGAAGTTTAACAGTGTATTTTCTTCTGGCTTCCTTGCAAATTCCCTCTATATACATTCTCTCCTTTCTTGCATTTCTGCCATTTACCTGAAGGATTTGCCTTATTATTCTCCTCCTTCTCTCAGTCTTTTAGTTTCTTAACACATCCTTGGACAGGCATACTCCCCCAAACTTCTCTTTACCCTCCCAGTCCAATCAGTACATTCCCAAGCTCACCATTTGCTTACTGTATTAAGACTGTAAGCATCCATAAACATATATATATATATTTTCAGGTTTTAAAAAAAAAAAATCAATCCATCCTAGATATTTTACAGTTATTTCTTTCTGTGCATGTGCAACAATGAGACCTGCCAGTGCATCACACCAGGATGTGTGGTGCTGAGAAGGTAGGATGTTGGTTTGTTGTTCGTCCCACTGCTCTCGTTAGTCTTATGGAAGACCTAATGTGTCTGCACAGTTTTGAAATACCACAAATAAAAATGCACTTCAGAGTGATGTTTTTGATTTGCCAGTTGGTTTGTTCAAGGAAATTCCAGTTCTGTATTTGAAGTTGTTAAAAGAAGCCTTCACCTTGAAATTGTGTTAACAGCTATGTTTACTCTATGGAAAATGTCTGATACCTAAAACGTTTTTGTAAAGATTTCAAGCATTATACTGAACTTGAGTGTGCTTTTTTTGAGGCTTTGAGACACATTTCAAACATTTGTTGCTTGTCCAAGAGGGATGTTGTGCAGGGCTAGTTATAGTTGAAGGCGAAATATTGCTTTCTGAGAAGTCTGAATATTGTTACCAGATAAATATGCAAATGTTACTTTTTGACTGCCAACGCCTCTCTTTTATACAGACCATTTATTTTTTTGGAAATGAATGCTTTTAGGTAAGCTTAGAAGTTCTTTTCCATTAATACACACGAATTTTCTCTATTAGATCTTGAAATACAAGCTATCTCATTTGCAAATGAGGTCACACTAGTAAAATAAATCTAAACATTTTAGTAATGTAGCACAAATAGCTGTTTTTTGTTAAACTTTGAGATTATCAAATGGACAAATATTGCCCCAAGATATACTTCTACATTGTAGCCTAAAATAGCCTTTTCTTAAGATTTTAAGCTCCAGAATTCATAAGGAGTATAATAAGCAAATAGAAGAAAAATGTGTATGTTGGAATGGATGGCCTGTTCGTATCTGCTGTCTTGTGTAAAATATTTTAAATTAACTGCCACTTGGCAGCTTTATTTTGTTTCTGTTACTGCAAAATGTGTTTGAAATAATAATTTCAGGTAGTTAAAAGAAAATGTTTTAAAAAAGGTAGAACACTAGTGAAATTATTCTGTTGTCATATGTGTCAAAAACTCTTTGCTTGAATTACTGATTTTTTTTTGTTTGTTTGTTTTAACCAGTCCTGATTTAAAAATATAGGGAGGAGGACCCTTCCCATTCTGCAAAACAAACAACACCCCCAAACAAACAAAGGCAACAAAAAGCCAGAAATCCACCACACAACAGTTTTTGCATAGTGAAGTTTTCCTAATTCTACCTTTGTAATTGTCTTCCTTTATGATTAATATCACTTTTTCAACCCTCCAAAAAAGTGATTACCACACATGAATCCTTTTAGATTTAGGTCAAAAGAAAATGTGTAGTCCCTCTGTGTAATTATGCTTTAGCTTTTGGAGTTTTGGGTTCTTTTGTCTATTGATAAATCTACTTCTATGACAAAAATAGTCAATCTTTTTCAGAGAACAGATAGTGACTTTGCAGCTGTCAATCCTGTGCCATTTGACCTGATTAGTGCTATCTAATTAGCACTGTTTTGTCACTGTTGCTGCTAAAAGGCATAAATTAGGAAATGGAAAAGGTGGAAATGGTAAATTTACCAGCATTTGTCAAGAAACCAGACAAGGATATAAACCCATTTTCTTAGGAAATTCCAGGGGAATGTGGTTTGGGACCAGGTATTCCCAGCTGCAGAATCTAAGTCTTGACCAGAGATGTCCTGTGACATGAAATACAGGTGTGTGTGTTTGAGCATCCCAGGTACCGTGTGTCCCACCTGGATGGACATCTACTGCATCTGAGCAAGCCCCTCCTGGCAGGGGATGGAGATCTGGCGTCCTCCTGAGCCACGCTGTGGTCTCTGCCTGCAAGGAGGAGCAGCTCTGCCCTGCTGAGCCCCACGCAGGTGCCTTGGGAGCAGGAGGGACAGGACCATATGCTGACTGTGGATGCTGAGCTGCAGGCAATAATTTGGGCTGTGTTCAGGAGGGAAAAGGCAAAAGTGAGTGTAGAGTTGGGAAAGACATGGTTATTTCTGAAGGAATTTTCTGGGATTGATCATACATCCTGCAGGAGTGTCAGTATTGCCACCATCTCCCTGAGAAAGGGAGAAAATCAAGATGAGCAATTAGGTGGGGAAAGAAGCCTGTGCTCCATTACAAATCGGATGTTTCTACAGGCTGCTCCTTTGTCATGGCATTTTATATATCACTTGGTTCCTTCCAGCTCCTTGAGGGACTTTCAGTCTCCCTTATCTGATGTCTTTTGTCCATATTTGCTCACTGAGGGGACCAGAGGTAATGAAAACGCTGAGTTTCTGTGTTTAGGTTGAAGATGGAAATAAATGGTGGGTGGCAGAGCCCAGATGCCAGACAGATGTTTGTTTCTAGCTGAGCACAGTGAGGAGGATGATCATGTTATCTGTTTCCTCATTCCCCAGAATATTTCCCAGGAACCCTGAGCAGGGCTTGGCTAAGCAGTTTATGTACTAACAACGTTTGTCCTGCGGGTAGGGTTTTGGACATGACTAGGAAGTTTACATCAAATGAGCCTACAGAGAGGGGAACTTCACTCTGCAGTAAGCAATTAGCCTGTGTCAGTGGTTTCCAAGCTCTTTTACAGACATTATCTGGTAGGCTGCTTCCCTTCCCTATCCTCAAATGGTCAGGCCAGCTCCCCTCTGGTTATTTGTACAACAGCTGCTGGCCCAGCCCCAGCAATTATGGGCAGGGAAGGAGGCTGTGCTGGGCTGTGCACTGGTAAGTCTGGAGTTTCTTCGAGTGGAATTTGCCAATGGGAGTAAACAAGGCCAGGACAGCTCCTGACATTTGTCAGTGGACAGCTGTCTGCTGAACCCCAGTGCTGAGCAGCGTGCCCATGTCTCTGCTGGCCTGTGTTAGGCTGAGCTATGGCTTTATATTGATTCCAATTGAGCAGAACTGATTTACAGCAGCAGAGGCCTCTCTGCGTTTATGGCTGTGCCTGCCCTGCTTGCAGAGCTTTTGTATTTTTGGGCTTAAGTGTTCTGTAATAAATCCTGAGGTGGGGGTGGAGAGGTCTGAAAGCAAGCAGCCACTTGTGGTTTTCCTGCCTGGGGGTTGAAAAAGGGCACAGCCATGCTGCAGAGAGCCCTCAAATATATATCTTCCACAGGATGTATCTGTCCTATACTGTCCTTTTAGAGTAATTCCTCTGCAGGCTGTAGGAAGCCCTTCTGCTGCTCCAAGCTCTTGTGGAAGGTGAATGGTCCAGAAACTGGTTTAAACTCTGGAGATCAGGAATTTTCCTGGTTTCAGGAGTGATGTATAGCATTACCCTGTGCTGCCTGGTCATATTGCTCCTCTCAGGCACGAGAGTTTAGAGGAGATAAACTTCAGTTATTGATCAGGAGTCAAACAACCCTCAGATCTATAACACTTGTAGAAGGCACCTACATACCTAAAGGTCCCTGTGCTCTTACTGCATTTCCCCTGGACAAAGCTGCACCACAGAGCTCCCCTTGCACTGTCTGGTTGTAAAGGAAAGGATTTTTAAGCCTTATAAAATAACCCTGTTGTCTACAGACACAATTTGGACCATAACATTTATTCTAGTTCAGAAATAAAACTTGCAAAAATCAAGACTAGATAATTAAATGAAGAAAGCCCGTTTTAAATGGGTTCTGTCATAAAGACAGCAGGAAACACACTCAGCCCTTCAGAAGAAACTTCGTTAAGACTATGCTAACAGCTCTTTAAACCAAATTCAGAAGTAAGCAGACACTGAAAACAGAAGCCTAACTTGTCTTTAAATAGGAACTGGAAGATTGAACTGCAAGAAACTGAGATCTCCTAGGTGTTCTTTTTAGGATTTTTCAGGAAGCTCAAACTACATTTCCAGGGGGAATTCTCTGTGCATGTGTATTCATGTATGTTTTGGCAAAGTATTTATTCCATGATTATGTCTTAGAGTTTGCCAAAGACTTCCTAAACTGGGACTGGCCACATTACTTGCAGTTAACAGAAATGTGGAATAGACACAGCACAGTCACAGCAAGAAGTAGGTGTGGATCCTGAATGTGCTTCAGTGCAGCCTTTACTTTTCACAGTCATCTTTTGTGTTAGGCCAGCTGCTGAATGGACCGTTTTGAAACGATTTTTAGCACATCCTTGTAATTGCCATAAAACTCAGGATGTTTCTAATACCCATCATAGTGACAGGAAGTAGCAGTTCAGGTGCCTTTTCATCACTGTGGAAGTATTTTCGTAAATATTTAAGCTGGGTTTTAAACAAACAAACAAAAAAACTTGAAACCAAAGCCTACAGAAATACACAGTTGAAACATGTACCAGATCCAGGCTTTTTGACTAACCCTCCCTTGTGTAATGTATGCTTCTTCAGAGAAGACAGACATTTAAAGATGCCTCTCAGTGTCAAGTGTTGCATCTGTCAGTGCTGAGAACACTTTGCTGGTGACCTGAGCAGACCCTAAGTTTGCCTTGCAGTAGCCCAAAAAAATGAGTAGCTGGAGGGTCAGGGCTTTAGGAGGAGATTATAGTTAGAGATGTCGATGCAAATGCTCGTACCTTAAGTGACAGTAGCTCTGAAGGACCTGTGCCTACTCATACCTGCTTTTCTGAA